GGGGCCAGAGCGCGAGCCGGGACCCGAGCTGGGCGGGGGCGGGTGGGCGCAGGTGTAGTTCCCGCGGGCGGGTCTCGGCGCTCGCACCTCCCGCCGGGGCGGCACCGGGTCCCGAGGAGGAGAGTGGAGACCGCGGGCGCGTCAAAGGCGAGGGCAGCAGCCTCCACGGCGGAGCCCTCGGCTGGCGGCGCTGAAGGGGCCTGGGAGCCCGGCCCGGGCCCGCCGAGCTGCAGGGGCCGAGCCGCCGGCCGAGCCCAGAGCCAGCCCTGGACGGTGGGAACTGAGGAGACCGCCCGGCAGAGCGGCGAGCGCAGAGGAGGTGAATTCCGAGCACTCTGCCCTAGGTGTGGCGGGCAGGCGCCGCTCTCGAATGCGGAATTCCAAGATGCAAGATACCGCTTTTCTGCAGTTCCAGAATTTCCCAAGCCATCCGCTGAGAACTTGGCCCTGGAGGACTCAGAATTTAAAACATTCCCAGTTCACAGATGGATGTCTTTTACCACCTTTCGTTTGCAGGGTTTTTGATACAAGTAAAAAGTTTGGGCTTAAAACAAATTGCGCAAAACGAATTTAAATGAACAATGTCATTAAGGACCTATTAAATCATCTCTACTCCCTTTTGTTTGTATAAGGTTTTAAATAACGGATTATTAGCTCCTTGGGGGTACCAAGAAAACCTGAAAGTTTTGATTGTCATAATTCGCTTTCTGGCCCTGTTGATGTGACAGCTTCAAGACTGCAGGTGTTGAAAAAGGCTGTGTTGACATATTAAGAGACCCAAGAAGGAAGACCTTAGGAAGTCTGAAGGGATCAGACATAAAAAGGCAAAGTTCATAGTAATAAAGGGAAATGGGGGTCATTTCCCGAGACCAGTCTTCCACAGCAGTATGGCAGAACTGAGGGAGTCCTCTGTGGGATGGGAAACACTGAAGAGTCTCGCCCCAAAATACCTCAGTTGCTGGTGCTTGAAATTCCACCGTTAGAGATATTGATTCCTTTGGGGCTTGACGAGGCTCTATTAAAATGCAAATTCCTCTTGAAGGGGCAACAGCTCAAGCCTTTATCAGCCAACACCTTAGCAGGGATGGGATTTATTTTCCAATTTAACGGGATGGCCAAGGGATGAACAAGAGGTGGGGAATTCCACAGATAAAGTGGCTGACCTCAAAACGCTGGCCTCTGGCCAACGCTGCCTTGGCCTCCAGTTCTTATCTATGACATGACTGAGCCTGAGGCGGGCATCTTTTAGAGCACTGGAGAACAAATTCAAATTTCCTGGAGACATCTTCTATCTAGAAATTTGCAGGGCAGCACTTTTTAAGGGCTTGGAACAATACCAAAGCAAGATCTTGGACTGCCAGGAAGTTGGGTTCCCACTATAGTCACCTCACTCCTTCATTGATTTATTCATTCCTCCAACCAAAGTTCACTAAAGGCTCTCGCAGCACCAGGCACTCTTAGGCTCTTAGCGTACATGAATGATCAAAACAGACAAACCCCTGCCTTCTAGGGAGGAGGAGAGAAACAGACAATAAGCATAACAAATAAGCAAATTACATACAGGTTATTGACATTATGCAGTATTCAAAAAATATGTTAAACACCCACTGTGTGCCAGACACTGAGGATGTACGGATAAGCAAAAGCAGACAGACTTCCTGTACTCAGAGAACAGTCTAGTGGGGAGAATGGCAGCACATAGATAATTGCTCCAAGGCCAATGGCAACTGCGTTCAGTGTTATGGAGAATTCTATGATAAGGAGCTTTGAAAAGAGCTTTCTGACCACAATGTAGAAAATAGAAAATCCACCAAAGTGGATATAGAGAGTTCACATGCTGTTGCTGTCATCTAGGCAAGAGGTGACAGTGTTTGGGATTAAAGTGGAGATGGTGGAGATATCCAGAACTGGATGGATTTAGGAGATGTCAGTGATGAATTAAATATGGACCAAATGTAGGGGGGTTTGTGAGCTAGTTGGCACATCGTGGGGAGAGTCATCAAGTGTTGGAAACCTCCAGTGAACTTCCATTTATGTATTAGATGTGATTCCAAAATACATGTGGATCAATTCCTTCTATTTATGAATGGCATGGAGAGCGAGATCCAGGCAGCAGAGCAGGGGATTTTGGTATAGGTGGGTTAGGAGAGGGATCTACCTTCTCCGTGAAATTTAATTTGGGGGCAGAGAGAGAGACTGATCCAGAAATTAAAATTACTTTGCTGTTGGGTTTTTTTTTGTTTTTTTGTGTGTGTGTGAGGAAGGTTGGCCCTGAGATAACATCCGTGCCCATCTTCCTCTACTTTATATGGGACGCTGCCACAGCATGGCTTGACAAGCAGTGCATCCGTGCGCACCAGGGATCTGAACCTGCAAACCCTGCGCTGCCGAAGCGGAGTGCACACACTTAACTGCTATGCCACCAGGCCGGCCCCTACTTTGCTGTTTTAAAAATCATTTCTTTATTTTAGAGAATTTAAAATTTCTATTGTATTAAATGAGGTAGCTAAAGTTACCTTTATAAACAGTTGGGATTTGGAGATATAAATAATTAAAGTGATTCAGTTTCCTGAAAGTGAATCATAAAGGAAAGGAGGGAGGGAGGGAAGGGGCTTAGCCCTAGTTCTGATCCTGACAACTCATTGACCCTCTTTGCTCCTCAGTGTTTTTCTCTTATAAAAGGCTTGGCAGACTAGCAAATTCTCCTGCTGAAGACAACTAAGAAGCCAAATGAAATATTTGTAAAATATATTCTTAAAAGTATCAAAGAATTATGGAGATAATGAGAGAACTCCAGGCCAAGATCCAGGAGGAGAAGGAATCCAGAGAGTTGTGTGCAGCACTTGGGCAGCTTCTGCCCTGGGCACTTATATTTCTGACTCTAGCGCCTGCACAGTTAGAAAGATGAGTTTTGAGTCCAGGGCCTTCCAAGAGTGAGGACCCAGTACACCAGTCCTGTGCTTTGTGATGAAAGCCTGGATAGCTGTATCCCAGGAATAAGGGAATAAGCCAACCTTCCTGCTGGTTGCAGATGCCCAGAAATCCCAAACCCTGAATTTGGATTAAGGTAATCCTGCATTGCTCAGGCCGCTGGGAGCTGGCAAAAACAATAGAAAATCACCTCTGGATAATGATAACATCATCCTAGGCCTCAAATTATTTCTACAAATAGCATTTTAAAAATTCACTTTCCTTTAATTTCCTCAACCTGGTCAAAGGCATTTATGAAAAACGCACAGCTAACATGACACTCAGTGGTGAAAGACTAAAGGCTTTCCCCCAAGATCAGGAATAAGATAAGGATGTCCACATTCGACACTGTTATTCAGCATTGTACTAGATATTCTAGCCAGACCAATTAGACGAGAAAAAGAAATAAAAGTTATCCAAACTGGAAAGGAATAACTAAAACTGTCTCCATCTGCAGAACATATGATCCTATATTTATAGAAAATCCCACAGAATCCACGAGAAAGTTACTAGAGGCAATAAATTCAGCAAAGTTGCAGGATACAAGATCAACACACAAAAATCAATTGTGTTTCTACATACCGGTGTTGAACAATCTGAAGGGGGATTAATAAAGCAATCCCATTTACACAAGCAACTAAAGGAATAAAACACCTTGGAAATTTAACCAAGGAGGTAAAAGACTTGTATACCAAAAATTACAAAACATTACTGAAAGAAATTAAAGAAGACCTAAATAAATGGAAAGATATCATGTTTATGGATAGGAGCACTTTATATTAAGATGTCAGTACCCGGAAGACTTTATATTAAGATGCCAATACCCAAAGTGTTCTACAGATTCAATGCAATCCCTATCAAAACTCCAACAGACATTTTTGAAGAAATGGAAAAGCCAATTCTCAAATTCATATGGAATTGCAATGGCCCCAAATAGCCATTCTTGAAAAAGAAGAACAAAGTTGGAAAGACTCACGCATCCAGATTTCAAAAGTTACTACAAAGCTACAGTAATCAAAACAGTGTGATACAGGCATAAGGATAGACAGACGGTTGGAATAGAATCGAGAGTCCAGAAGTAAGTCCATCTATCTCAGACCAGTGGAGTTTTGACAAGAGTACCAAGTCCATTCAATGAGGAAAGAATAGTCTCTTCAACAGATAGGGCTGGGACGACTGGACTTTCACATGCAAAAGAAAGAAGTTGGACCCCAACCTCACACTATATACAAAAATTAACTCAAAATGGATGAAAGACCTAAATATAAGAGTGAAAACCATAAAACTCTTAGAAGAAAACATAGGTATAAATCTTCATGACTTTAGATTTGGCTGTGGATTCTTAGATATGACACCAAAACTATGAGCAACAAAAGAAAAAATAGATAAATTATTCTTCCTCAAAATTCAAATTTTTTGTGCATCAAAGAACACTATCAAGAAAGTGAAAAGATAAGCTATAGAATGGGAGGAATATTTGCAAATTATATATCTGACAAGGATTTAATATCCAGAACATATAAAGAACTCCTGCAACTCAAAAACAAAAAGATAAACAATCCAATTTTAAAATGGGCAAATGACTTAAATAGACATTTTTCCAAAGAAGATATATGAATGGCCAATAAGCACATGAAAAGATGCTCAACATTGCTAAATAGAGAAATGCAAATCAAAGCCACAATGTGATACTACTTGGCATCCATTAGGATGGCTATTATCAAAAAAAAAAAAAACAGAAAATAGCAAGTGTTGGCAAGGATATGGAGAAATTAGAACCCTTGTGTACTGTTAGTGGGAATGTAAAATGGTGCAGCCACTATGAAAAACAGTACGGAGATGCCTCAGAAAATTAAACATAGAATTACCATATCATCCAGCAATTCTGCTTCTGAGTGTATACCCAAAAGGATTGAAAGCAGGGACTCAAAGAGATATCTTCACTCCCAGGTTTATAGCAGCACCATTCACAATAGCCAAAAAGTAGAAACAACTGAAGTGTCCATCAACAGAAGAATGGATAAACAAAATGTAGTGTACATACATATATACAATGGAATATTAGTCAGTCTTAAAAAAGAAGGAAATTCTGACACATGCTACAACAAGGATGAACCTTGAGGACATTATGAAATAAGCCAGTCACCAAAGGACAAATATTGTATGATTCTACTTATATGAGGTACCTAGAGTAGTCAAATACATAGAGACAGAAAATAGAATGGTGGTTGTCAGGGGCTGAGGGGGAGGGGGAATGGGGAGTTAGTGTTTAATGGGTGCAGAATTTAAATTGGGGAAGATGAAACAGTTCTGTGATGGATGGTGGTGATGGTTGCACAACAATGTGAGTGTACATAATGCCACAGAATTACACACTTAAAAATGGTTAAAATGGTGAATTTTAGATTAGGTATATTTTTACCACAATAAGAAAAAAAACAATGTAATACCACTTCACAT